GGGGTGGAGGTGTGGGGCAGGGGTGGCTCAGGTGAGCACTGCTGGATGGAAGCTGGCCATTCCACTGTCTGACCGGTGCCCCTGCTCCTCCCCACACACCTCACACTGCACGCAGCTGAGTGGGCACTGCAGTTCCACCTACACCACTCACTACCTCTCACCCACTTCTGCGGGGCCAGCCAAGCAGGCATGTGTCCCCACTTAACCTCTAGGAAGGAGCAGCATGGGGCTCACCCACGATCACACAGTAAACCATGGCCCGGGCCGAGACCGCCTCCCATACGCCCTTTAGACCCGTTCGGTGAATTCTAACCACTTCATCCAGGTTCTCTAGTTTCTGTCTGGTCCTCAAATGAGATCACTGGCTTCCTGGTCCGCCTGCTCTGCTGTTCATGATAGGTCAGTGGAGAGTTGGCCACCGTGTTTCCATGTTGAAGAGCCTAAACACTTTGTTAGTCAACATGATATCTATACAAGGTCTTGTGTGATGGATTCTTGACTGAGTTTAGGTCCAGGAAGTCCTCTTGCTGGAGAACACACCTGTTCAGCTTGGCTTCTTTCCCTCTTGGCCAGGAGCCCTGGTCACCAAGCCAAGGCTGGACCCCAGCTATCAGCCACCTCTGGGGCCCTGTAAAGTCTTCTTTCCTTTAAATGGCCTTTGTTCAGTTTGATCACTGAATGCTCTATCTTGAACTTCATTTTAACATGTATATCAGCTGCCCACAATCCCCTTGGAAGAAAGCTGGATATCAATCATGAAAAAAATAAGGCGGGGAGTGGTGGCTCATGCCTGTGATCCCAGCACTTTGGGAGGCCAACGAGGGCAGATCATCTGAGGTCAGAAGTTCGAGACCAGCCTGGCCAACATGGTGAAACCATCTAAAAATATACTAAAAATACAAAAAATTAGCTGGGCATGGTGGCAGGCACCTGTAATCTCAGCTACTTGGGAGGCTGAGACAGGAGAATCACTTGAGCCCAGGAGATGGAAGTTTCAGTGAGCCGAGGTTGTGCCATTGCACCCCCCCCTAGGGAACAAAGCAAGACTTTTCTCAAAAAAAAAAAAAAAAGAAAAAAGATTGGATGACAGTTTGTGTGAGGCTCCCAAGAAGATCAGGGAAGGGCTGCACATCAGTTCGTAATGCTGGCATCAGGAGAGGGTGCCAAGAGCCTCTGAGTGACTGGCCTGCGTCCACAGAGAGATCCGAAACCCTGCGTGCTGGAGGACGAACCACACCACTGGAAGTTTCTATATTTGCTTCTGGACTTGAACATTTGGACAATATCCACAACTGCATTCTTTGTAATGCTTTTGTTTTGAAATACCATTTTGAGATACCCTCAAATCATCTACATATTCTCTTAAAAAATGGTGAAAGGTATCTCCGTATGGTTTACGTGATCTATTAATTCATAAAAGTGTTGAGTGGAATTTAACACATAGGGTTAGTGCTTTGTGCTGCTGCTGTTTTGAGAACCTGAAACCTGGCTGGTATTTCGCTCTCTAAGGATCTGGGGACAGGAATTAAGATACCCTCTCTATGGAGTGCCTTGCTCGGGAGAGTTTGAAAGAAGCACAATACTTGGTTCTACTCTCAAGGTACCCACAGGTTGGTGCGACCGGCTGGTTGACGTGTACATTAGTGAAACGTCATGGAGTGGCAGGCAGGCATGCATCCAAGAATATAGCATGGAACATAGTGACAGCTCAAAGCTCTGGGGAGGAAAGGTAGGGAGGACCAGGTGAGGCAAGCCTGATGCAGACGTCTTGTGGGGTGGTGAGGCTTTTTGCAGGGGTGAGTTGTGTTGAAGCTCCAGGATGGGACAGCTGGGGTGTTGGATGGCAGGAAGGAGCTCCCAAGCCTCAGACAGTCCCCTACTGGAATGCCAGCTCCAAGATTGGTCAGGGACTTTTATCGATTTTATACACAGCTGATTTCCCAGTGCTTGGCACAGAGTAGATGCTCGATAAACATTGCTGAATGAATGAATGAATGCATGAATGAACAGGCAGGGGAAATGGCAAAAGCCAGCAAAGGCTCGGAGACCAAAGGGCTGGCTTGGGTTGGGGAGAAAGGCCTTGTTAAGAAAAGGCCAGCGAAGCTTTGAGAAGGTTGTTAACCTAAAGGAAAGCAGGCCAGATATCTGAGGTGCCCTTGGGGATACAAAGGAACCCGGGACTCAGGCGTTGCCTCCCAGAAACACGTGTGGTAACTGGTGGAGGAGGGCCCTGACCTGCGGGGTAGGGCAGGGGGAAGGGGTAGGGAGTGGAGGCTGGGGTGAGGGAGGGGGCTGCAGCATACCTGAAAGCTGGTGGGTACATCCTCAGTGTCTCTGCAATCACCATGTCCAGATAGGGCAGGCCTTCCTCGAGGCTGCAGAACTCAGGGGCCGCCTAATGGAGGAGTCGTGACGAAGGGAGAAGTTCCGGTTAGCCCGACTCTCACAGCATTTTGTCTTTTCCTTAAATTTCAATCTCGTTTCCAACTCTGGCAAATATTTAAGCAGAAACGCCACAAAATGGAAAGTCGATACGACCCAAATTGCATCTGATCGGCCCTCAGCGTGTTCTGTTGTGCTTACATCTCACGGTGTCGGCCTGGGGCTCGGGGTCTCTGAGGGTAATACAGAGAAGTTTGGTTATACACTGCCGCGGCTGCCACAGCTGCCAGCGTTTACCGGGAGCTGATGTGGCCGAGCAAGTGCAGCAGAAGCTCATTTACTCGTCCATCAAGCCAGGGTGGCAGCTGCTTCCCATCGCTTAGATGAGAAAACAGGCTCAAGGAGCCTGTCACATGGGTAGTCATTGCCAGATCATGAAGCTAAAAGGCAAATAGTGAAATAGCAAATAAAAAATCTGCAACATCTATAAAGGATTAACAGTAACATAAAACCAAAGAGCTACTACCAATCAGTAGGAAAAGACAACTAGCTAGAAAAATGGTCAAAGGATACGAACAGGCAAAACAGAAGAAATATGAATTACCATGATAAAAATTCAAGTTGGAATGAGATTCCATCTGCACAAGTCAGCTTAGGAAGAGTTGGAAAATAGTCGATTTCAGGGGTGCAGATGTGGGGGGATCCTAACACCCCCTGGGCGACTCTCCTGGAGTGACGCTCTGTCGCTCCCTGGCTCTCCCTCCTTGGCCTGCAGATGAACACGTGCCCATGAGCTCTTGAGCAGGGTGTGGGCACGCCAGGGTGAAGGAAGCTTATTGCTGTTCCGTGGCTCTCCCTGCACAGGTGGAATGAATTATCTGGTTGGTAGGCGATGCCTCACTTTCTTCACCTAAGACAATGCTAATCCAGAAGGAGTCCCCAACATGGGGGATTGCTTTCTTCCTTTTCCTCTTTTTCCCAGAGCAGCAGGAGGCCGGCCTCCAGGGAAAGTCCATTCTGAAGCCACCAACTTTCCAGGAATGAGCGCTGGGAGGCCTAGTTCCTCCATCTGCAGGGGGAGCCCTTGACAACCCTGGAGCAGCCACTGGCCCCCCTGCCTGGAACCTCAGCCCGTTCTCAAAGTGAGCTCCCGGGGTGGGCGGAGGTCAGCAGCTGAAGCAGCGCCACCTGGGATCTTATTAGAACTGCACGGCAGTTCAGAGGGGGCAGAAGGGCAGGGGCCAGGACACGTGGATTCTTGAGGTCCATAGCCAGTATCTTAGCTAATCTATTACGGCGTGGCCATTCAGTAACATGCAGCTGTTTAACGACGCCTGTAAATCAAGTTGCAGAAATTATATGTAGTTTAATCCCATGTCTGAGCCTGTTGATGAATTTAGAGGGCCAGGGTGGTATTCTGACTTTGTCATAAAAATAACAAGGTCTGGCTGGTTTTCCCAAAGCTCTCCCATCTGCATTCTGGGAAACTGTTCCTTTAGAAGGTTATCACTCAACCCCACACTTCCCACTCCCATCACAGGCCACTGGGGCAGCTGGTTGAGCAAGTGACCTGTGAAAAGGACCTTGTGCATGGGGGTTAATGCTCTGTGCTTGTTGTCTGAGAGTCTTTATAACTTATCTATTTTTTTTTTCAGTCAGAGTTTTGTTCTGTAACCCAGGCTTAAGTGCAGTGGTGTGTTCTCGGCTCACTGCAACCTCCACCTCCCAGGTTCAACCGATTCTCCTGCCTCAGCCTCCTGAGTAGCTGGGATTACAGGCATCTGCCACCATGCCTGGCAAACTTTTGTAGTTTTAGTAGAGATGGAGTTTCACCATGTTGGCCAGGCTGGTCTCAAACTCCAGCCTGCCTCGGCCTCCCAAAGTGCTGGGGTTACAGGCGTGGGCCACCACACCCAGACATAACTTTATCTTCTTTTTTATTTTTTCAAGATGGAGTTTCACTCCTGCTGCCCAGGCTGGAGTGCAATGGCATGATCTTGCTTCACCCGAACCTCTGCCTCTTGGGTTTAAGCAATTCTCCTGCCTCCCAAGTAGCTGGGATTACAGGCACGCACCACAATGCCTCGCTAATTTTTTGTATTTTTAGTAGAGACGGGGTTTCTCCATGTTGGCCAGGCTGGTCTCGAACTCCCGACCTCAGGTGATCTGCCTGCCTTGGCCTCCCAAAGTGCTGGGGTTGCAGGCGTGAGCCACCATATCCGGACATAACTTTATCTTTGAATCTGTGCTTTGGAAGCCTGGCTCACGCACTCCCCTTGCCCCCACCACTGCCGTGGCTGCCTCCCATGACCAGCTCTCAGCCGCGTGTGCTCTCTGCCTGGCTTCCCCCTTTCTGCCCTGATGTTGCTGTCCACACTTCACAGGGTCCTGGCTACAGGCACAGAGCGGGCCAGGATAGGGTGCATGCACCCTGTAGCATCTTGGGTGGGCAAGGTGGTGGCCGTCCTTGCCCTAGGCTGGCAGCACACAGTGTATGTGATGGGGCTGGCCAGAGGTTGCGTCTTGTTGGGGGTAAGCCTCTGCCCACTCCTGGCCCAGGCATTGAGTGTGTCATAGCACAGAGGTTTAGAGGTCCTTGGAGGTTAGTCTGCTGTGGCTGTCTGGGGAATGCTGTGGGAAGGGGAGACACCGGGACCAACTTCCCTAGACTCTGCCTCCCTGGCTGGGTCTCAGTCATGTGTCTGGTGGCTGACAGGGCCCTTGGACGCTTGGTAGGGTCTGGACTCCCTTAGCCCATCTAGTATGTCCAGGCCCGACAGAGCGTCCCTCCTTGGGTGAACCTGGAGGCACCTTATCTTCCTGCTTCCAATCTTCATGAGCTTGGTTTGTGTTTGTCTCTTCTGGCCAACAAGTCACAAAACACCAATTGTGTAATTTCAGTGACTCTGCACATGAGTTAAAGCGCTGAAATTTACATTTAAGTCTGGCATTGCTTGATATAAAGACGAATGGTAAAATGCTTGCTAATAATTTAAAATTTGGAGTTTTCTTTACTTAGAACGACAGTAAATAGAAAATAAAAACACCATGACAAGTCAAAAAAGAGGCTACAGAAGAAGAAGCTTGCTGAGTATCATGACGGGCACTTCCCCTGCTTTGGGAATAAAGGCTACCACACTTTCATTTCTCATCCGGCCTCACAGATCCTGTTGCCAGCCCCACACGCCAAGATTGACTGGCCCAAGGGACCAATCTGGAAATTTGGATCTGGGGCAAAGAAAAAGAAGTTTTTCTCCAGCAGGCGGCAGTCAACACAGGCAAGTGGAGAGCCATTGTCAGCCACATTCCGCCTTGTGGATTAATGAGCAGCAAACACCAGGTGGCCTCAAGAGAGAAGAAACGAATCAGATGTATGCAACAAAGCCGAGGCAAAGGACAGAGAGACCATTTCCTGGTGCCCCATCGGGTTGCAGTTCCTGTTTGCCATCTGCTCCTGGCAGGGAACCCTGTGGGTGGCATCTTGGTACCTTCCAACAAGTTCCCCCTTGTGGCTAAAGTTATCGATGTTCTGAATCCCATTATATGCAACCAAATGAATCTTAACACATGCAGGAATATACATATGTCAAAGAAGAAACAGAGCTGCAGTACACCAAAACAGAGAACTATAGCTCCAAAGGAGAAACTGGATCTGGGAGCAGCACCCCTAATGGGTAAACGGTCTTGGTCCCCCAAAGAAAACTGTATGGCTCGTAAGCTTTTAGGGTTTATCAAAGAAAGAAAACTTTTTGAGATAGGCTAAGGGAATTTTGTGTTAGAAAATCAAAGTCATTACTCTTTCCCTAGATGAGCTTTTTTTTTTTTTTTCCAGTGCTTCTAGCTTTTAGATCAAGATACACCTGTAGGCCGGACATAGTGGCTCACGCCTGCAATCCCAGCACTTTGGGAGGCCGATGTGGGTGGATCACCTGAGGCCAGGAGTTTGAGACCAGCCTGGCCAACATGGTGAAACTCCATCTCTACTAAAAATACAAAAAATTAGCCGGGCATAGTGGTGGGTGCCTATAGTCCCAGCTACTCTGGAGGCTGAGGCAGGAGAATCACTTGAACCTCAGAGGTGGAGGCTGCAGTGAGCTGAGATCACGCCACTGCACTCCAGTATGGGCAACAAGAGTGAAACTCCATCACTAAAAAAGATACGCATGTAAAGATCTTCTTGGTTCAGCAGTTCTACATGTGGCTCCATGTTAGAAGCAGCCAGATTGTTATATATCTTTAATATAGATGGCTGCTTGGGCCCTACTCCCCAGTGCTGGTCTGAGGTGGGGCCTGGGTACCAGCTCTCCTTTTATAGCCCCCTGTCCTAATGTGCAGTCAGGGGCATCAGTCTGTCTGTCTGAGAATACCCTAGCACTTCTCCACATTGGCGGAGTAGGCAAATGAGGTGGAGAGATACACACACCTTACGTGTTAGTCGAACCAGTGAGAAAACAAAACTCAAGTCATTACTGGCTGGTCCACCCAGCCGTGGCTGGCTTTGCCTGCAGCTTTCAGGAACACAGCAGGGACAGAGCGGTCCTGAGCAAATCCTGCCAGCAGAGGGCAGCAAGCGCATGATAAATGGGGACTTCCCATCCGGAGAAAGGACCTGGGAAATCCTCGCAGGATCCTTCAAGGCAGAGAGGAGTAAAATGAGGCCCAGAGAGGAAGGTCTGTGAACCCAAAGACTCAACGCAGAACTTACTCTGAGTGTTCTTGTTCATTCCAGTCCCTCAATGGGCACGTTGGATGGATCGGGTGCTGGACTGAGTGTCAGGGGTCCAAGAAGGCTCTGCCCATTGGGGAAACAGATTCCCAAACAAATCATTACCTGGATGTGTAAAGTGTTATGAACTGGGCTTATGAGGAGTAGAAAACCAGTTCTGTTTGGGAGATCCTTCATTTACATACTCAGGGAATACATATGGAATTGGCGAGCATGATTCGCCAGGCACTGTACTAGACCCAGGAGATGTCACTTTAAAATGCATGGACATAACCCAGTCTCTTGGA